TCTAAAACAAAGATTTAATAGGGCATAATATGGCCAAGTGTTATCTGGCTTCTCCGAGAAGCTAATGGATGAAGTGAGAGAAAATTACACGCATCTGAAAATAACCCCTAGAGTTAGACTGTTCAGTAGTTATAAGCTAGTTATATGGCTCCAAACAGGTATTTATTAAGTTTCAAATATTTATGGCATTATAAGGGATAAAAATAAGAGCAATGCACTTGACTATATAAATACAACCCCTCCATACCTGAACTCTTCTGTCCCATGAAGCCTGCTCTACCTCCCATGCTGGCTCACGGGCACTGATTGCCAACAAACACAGGGCACTGCCCCACACTCTCTGGCCTTCTCATTCCCCTGCATGTAGCAGATTGGGGTCCTCCTGACTTCCGTTCTTGGCACATCATGCACCTTTACCTGATTTACCATAGTAAATACTACTTCTTTCATTCAAGAACCACCAAGTTTTCCATAAAGCTGTCAGGATCACCTAAAATGTACTTCTGACCAAGTATTTGCCTGGCTTCCAATCCTATGTTCCTCGTTATCTTTAGAAGAGTTTAATCCCCAAGCAAGGTATATCAGAAATCTTTTAAGATCTGAGTACTTTGATTAACAGATTCTCAGATCTCATCTTAGAAACCTACCTGCCCACACTGCTTTTTTGTGTTTTTTTGTGATGCTACACTACGAATAGTTCTCCCTTGGTGCGGGCCCACCTAGGACTTTGTGAACACTGTTCCTTCTAAAGAAAGGAAATTTCGAGAACATAATAATAAGTACTTTGGTTTGGGCTGACATGGTACATGATATTTATTGAGTGTCTACTATACCCTATGACATAGTGCAGTTATGAATTTCTTCACCACAAGCATCACTTCAAAAAAAATATCCACTGGACTTCAGGAGATGAAAACAGAGCAGTAGCACTGGGAAACAGAACATACATCCAACATTAAGCAGGTTTGTGGGGCCCTCGGGCAGAGCAGAAGGTAGAGAGGACAGCGTTTCAGTGGGTGTGCGACTAGGTGAGAGTGGATTGGACCTGTACTCAGGCAGAGAAAAGTGCAACTGCATTCATGACCACGGCCTCAATCACGTCTGTATTACTTCCACATCCGTCCCCATGGCACACACTCCATAAATATGGATGAAAACAAAGATTCTTGTGTACGCAGAAATACCTGCATCCCTGCAGCTCCAACAAGGAGGATTTTGCCAGCCCACCCACCTGCACATCAGCATAAAAATAATGAGTGTCATTAAATAAAAATAAATGGACTCTTAACAAGTGCCTTGACCAGACAGCACCACAACATTCTACCTGACTCCGAAAGGGCAATCAATAGTAAACAAGCAAGCAGAAGGATACAATTCAAACTCCATGTCCGACATGTAACAGGAAGGTAGATCCGATAATCTTATCACCTGCACAAACTCTAAGGCAGGACCGTAATAATGGAAGACCTAGAAAACAAATTTAAATTATATGGCATTTGGAATATGATAAAAAAAGATGACACGAATACATTAGTGATTAAAACTTTAAAGCCTTAAAATCAATCGTAAAAAAAAAATAAAAAAGGTTTACACATATCATGGAAACCAAACGTTTGACACTCTGGAACAGAGAAGAACATTTTCTGTTTTGATTCTACCTTTCAGAGAAGAGAGCCAAGCATGGAGACTTCTCAGTAACTGGAAGGAAGTTTACGAAGGGAGAAAGGAGGATAGAGGAAGGCAGGGAACTGAGGAAGAGTTCTCCCCCTTTCCTGCTTGCCTTCTGCAAGATGGCCAACTCAAGGGCTAGAGAGCTGATTACTCAAGTAGACAGACAGGCCGCAGGAGTAAGAAGGAGAAAGAAAAGATTCCAGGACGAGGCTAGGTTGAGTGTCATGCTGTGAATTTAATTTTTTTTAAAAGAAATCCTTGGAGGAAAGATGAAATTAGAGAAACAGATGGGATAATTAATCTAGGAAATGCCACTCAACGATAGAAAACTGTGGAGTTTCCTTCGACAGAGTCTAAAACTCAACTAAGCATGAGCTACTGAGAAAGCACAATCGTCTCCAGAGTTATGGCCGGAGTGCCCCACTCTGGTCGAGCAGAGCAAACAGAACTCTTCTAGAGGAACCACACCGTGTCTTAAGCCGGCAGGAAGCGCCTGGACCACGCATGATTTTATGTCCACGTGGACGTACTCGCTCCTATAGCACTGAGCTGAAAGTGACTCCTCAGCAATGGGGGTTGGGGATTTATTGTTTGTTTCGATTAATCACCTACTGATCAGAAAACGTTATTCACCAACTTGACACCTTTAGAATTTCATGATC